AAAAAGCATTCGGAGCCCTTCCTTAGGATAGATTAGCCATTTATGGTCATACTAATTTTACTTTCTGTTCTTTAAATTACCGGATACATTTCCTTCCAGCAATTAACTACATGTGGATTCATCAAGCCCTTTTCTTCGATGGCATTCTCTGATGGCATTTCACCTGTTAATCCTTACTAACTTCTCTCTTCCCGGCCAGTTCTCTTTGTACCAGTGAACACAGTTTTAGTAGAGTTTTTGGTTGAAAGACCCTCAAGGTTAGAGCAATGCCCAGATTGTCAAGATACTATGAATAATGTTTATCCAGCTCAGCCACTAAGTTAGATATACTGGGGGAAAAGGAAATGGGAAATATTTTAAATTTAGTTTTTATAATAGAAATAGCACATGTACATATTACTAAAAATATAGTTTTACAAAAATAATTATTTTTCATTTTTTTAACTTCTTGTGTATAGTTTTCTAATTCTTTTCCAAATCCTCTGCCACACATATGAATTTTCTCTCAATACACTGAAGATTGTCAGGCATTCATCATCTTGGAGATATCTACTGCTGAATTCCGGATTGGTTGCTGTCTTAATTTGGGTTCCTCCAGAATTAAACCATAAAGCAAGGATTTGAGCAAAGTGGTTGATTTGGGAGGTGATTCCAGGAAACCCTGTTGGAGAAGTAGGGCAGGAGAGGAGGCAATAAATGAGATATTGCAGAGCAAGGTACAGTGGTGGACAAGTGTAACCTGAATCCCCCTGGGGGACATGGGGAGCATATAGCTCCCTTAGAGCTCGTGGTTCTCTGAGCTGCACGTGTCTGGTTATGTGTAGTATCAGCGACAGTTGGCCTCAGTGCCTGATGCACCATGACAGGCCTGAGATCTCCGTTTTTCATCTGTTTCACCTCTTTCCTTACATTGGATCCCTTTTTGTAGATTCCATACCTGTCCTTTTTCTTGATGTATACCTTCATTTTGGTAGAATGCCTCTTCTATTAGCTTGAGAAGAAAAATAAGACCTTTCTGTGCATTTGGAAATATGACTATTCTACTTTTATACTTCACTGATAATTTGAATATAGCATGATAGTTGATTTTATCTAAGAAACATTGCTCCATTGTTTTCTGAGAAATTTCTCATGTTCATGGTTTTCTTATATTCGATGACCTTCTAATTTTTTATCTTTTATACGTAACCTGTGTTTTTCGTCTTTGAAAGTTTTCAGGAATTTGTTTGTCCCCAGTTATATGAAATTTCCTATTAATAGTTCTTAGCATAGACCCTTTCACCCATAGTGCTGGACATTCCATAGATCCTTTCAATCTGGCAACACACATTCATTATTTCGGGGAAATTTTCTTGAACTTTTAAAAAGAACTTCTCTTTCTATTTCTATTTTCATCCTTCCTTTTTTGGAACTTCCATTATTTAGCCTGTAGACATGGATTGATGCTGATGTTATACTTGCTTTCTGATGTTTTTATCCTTTTTTTTTAAATTCTGCTTTTGGGATTTGCTTCAACCTTGTCATCTGTGCTTCCATTAATTGTTAAATTATATATTTTACTTAAATTCATATTTAAACTTAAATTATCTTTTAATTGTTAAGTGTTCTTCACTGTCTTTTTTTGTTTTATGGATAAAAGTATGTTAGACACATGAGAATATTAATGATAATTATTTTTACCCTCCCTCAATTGTTTCCTATAATTTCCTTGTTTATTTTAGTTCTCTCGTGTTACAACCTTTCTTCAGAATCTGGTGACAGCGGCTGTCATTTTCCGCCTAGGTCTAGGCCTGCAAAGCTGTGTGTCAGCGGGGGGCGGAGCCTGGATGATGTCGTTTACTAGCTGTAATGGCTTCAGTCTAGGGTGGTCATCCTGGGGTCGCTGCATTGGGTACTTGCAGCGGTGTCTTCAGGTCTCTTCTCCTGGAATGGTTGTAGTCCCCGGCAAACAGTCGTGTAGTCCCCTGCCCAGAGGGTATAAACCTGGCTGCCAGTTCTCTGGGGGATGAGTGGAGGAAGCAGACTGGCAGGTCGTCCAGGTCACTGTGTAGGTGGGCCCTCACGTCCTGTTTTCAGAACGGAATCTCACCCTCAGCAGGGTCAAGTGTCTTCTCTTTTAAAAAATTCTGCTTGGTGGGCACTCCTTTTATTCAACAAAATAAACAAATTTTCTAGTTCTCTGTTAGCTTCAAAAAGCTCTCAGCCATGTGAGCTAAAGGATACGAGCAGAGTCTCATGGGAACTACTGCCATGATAGTACAGTCGTTTCCAAGACACACATTCCTTCATTCTGATTTTCCTCAGCAGATGTGTGTTAAGCATCTGTGGGCACAGCTTTGTGCTAGCCCTCTCTGGGAGACAGGCAGGGCAACACACCCGCATCCTGCCCTCATGGACCAGGGCAGACACTGCTGTCAGGAGGCTGTTTCTGCAGTAAACCTATGGGGTGTGGTGGGGGGGGGGCACGTGAATTAGGCTCGTGAAAGTGGGAAAGTAAAGGTGGGGGCATAGTCAGAGAGCTTGTAACAATTTGTAAGAAAGAGTAAAGCTGTGGAGGGTGGGAGGAAAGAGAGGAGAGAAGGCAGAGAAGGAAGAGAAGAGGGGGTCCTGGGTGATGCATCCAACTCGGCGAAGCCACACAGGCTGAGACCATGTTACAGGAAGTCTAGTCTGTTACCTTTGTATTTTTAGGCTTATTCTCTGTTTCTTTAAAGTACTGCTTTTAAAAATCACTTTAAAATGATTATGCTAACACTTAAAAATTGTTAATACTAAGGTCTGATTTTTTTTTCAGGAACACAGAAGTTTTACTAATCCAGGATTCTTAATAGATATTAATGAGTTTGTGAATTAATTTAAAAGCAGTCTCTTTAAATGTGTGGCTAATTAGGTATTTTAGATGATTTGCAGAAATAAACTAATAGAATATGGTTTTCTTCCCCCTTCTTATTAAATTATGGAATATATTCAAGGCTTTCTTAAGTAATTAGTAGAACACTAACACTCTCCATAATTGAACAACTTTCAAAACAATCAATTTAAAAATCAGCCGTACTATGTTAAAACCATTATAATTACTTCTGGTAATTACTCACCAGAAGACAGCTCTTAATAGAACCAAGATATTAAAACAGACCAACAACTAACTTTCGTAAAAGGAATCAGTCTGGAGTAGAGTGTAATACTGTCAACACAAGATTTGAAGGGATTAACCATCATGTGTGGTTTCATTACTCTTTCTTTGATCTACACTTGCCTCCTTTCCTTCTCTTCATTTGGTACTTCTTATTGTCTACTGTTTGTTTATTTCACTTTTATTTGTGCTGTTGTTACTCCTTCTCTGTGCTCCCCCAGTACCTTGTGCATGTTAGCTATTGTTGCGTGCTTTTGTTGCCACTGTTTATTTCACCGATGCTTCACTATCCTGTGAGTGCCTTAAGGGCAGGGACTGTGTCTTTCCTGGATCTCAGATATGGGTTATTGTAGAAAAGCCTTTGAAAATATACTCTGATGATACTGCCTTCTCAAAAACATGTGGCATTTTCAATTTTTGAAGTTTAACATGACTAATACACTTTTCTGTGAAAAATAAAGAAAATGTGAATTTTACATTTTTTCCAGTTACCACCAGGCTTTGCATATTGCTTTTAACCTGACTAACTTAGTCACTATGTGATTCTAAGCTTAAAGATACTTCCCTCCGGAATTTTTCTTTGCGATGCGCACCTCCACAGACTAGGGTGATGCTGTACTTCCGTGACTCACTCTAATCCCCTGAATAATGTTCAGTACATGAATTTCACTCTCATTCTTTTGAAATAGACACTACTCTCGGTTCAGTATAAGTTTCGCAAAGGCCGGGACTATAGCTGTTTTGTTCATTGTAATATGCCTGATGCAAACCTGGGAGAGGGTCTTCTCATGGTAACTCTCCTCATCACCAGTCTCAACCTTTGAAGCTGAAAGTTGACATGAACGCCTGTTTGAAACAGACGTTCAAGATTCAATGCCAGGTGCTGGATGCTGGAATTGCCTTTAGCTGTGATTTGTCTCAGGGGCTTCTATGCTGATGGGACCTAGGCACAGTCCTAAGTTAATGTATCATCTTATCTCTCATAATTAACCTGAGGAACCCAGTATCCTAGCATCAAGCAAGTCCTTGGCTTTACCAGCGTATTAATAAAACAGTTTCTTCCACTAAAACTGTAATTGCTTTCTAGGCATCTTCTTCTTATAAAAATAAAAGCAGGAAAGAAATTGAAATGCTGTCTTTGTGGCACAGAACTAATTTCCGATGCAGTTATGTGCTAGAGAAGTGATTAAGTGTTTTTAATGAACACAGTATTTCTGTCCTTTGTGGGTCTGTTTACTGTCAGAATTTTAGTTGAGAAGTGATTTTGAAAATAGTTGTTTTATACACGGTGTAAGCGAAACATGGCATACAGCCCACACTGCAAGAATTAATTAATTTTCTACTTTAGTCCATGGACCCCTAGGCATGATGTACAAAGTTAGAATTCTAATACTTAGAAATCGTATAGCCCCGTAGTTTTCAGAGTGCTTTCCATGGGGCCCCGCAGCGCCACAGAGGCACTGCCCGGATGGCCACAAGGAGGGAAGGGTGGGAAAGGCCCTGGCAGATGGGAGGAGCATGTGAGGAGGACAGTCTTACCCCAGAGAGCTTCACCTTCTCTCAGTTCCTCGTAAGATTTGAGAGAAAGGGAGAGTTTAGCGATTTAAAAAATATATGTCTATGTCTGTGTCTGTGTCTATGTCTGTGTCTGTCTGCATCTCTATCTACCTGTGGGCAAATCTCCTCATATTACAGATGAAGACACTGAACTGGGAAGGTAAAGGGGCAGTTTTCAGTAGCCAGGCTGGCTGATAGGCGGGTTAAAGCCTGATTCTTCAGCCAGCTCTGTTTCTGCTCTATTACTTTGCCTACTTTGAAAGCCTGTTTTTTTGTGTGTGTGTGTGTTTTTTTTTTTTTTTGCCTTCAGCTTCCAGAGCTAAACTCAGCATGATCAACACTATGTCAAAAATCCGCGGCCAGGAGAAAGGGCCAGGCTATCCTCAGGCGGAAGCACTGCTCGCGGAGGCCATGCTCAAGTTTGGAAGGGAGCTCGGGGACGATTGCAACTTCGGTAATGAGCGCTTTCTCATGTTTTAATTCTTTTGTTTGTCTGTGGGGATTTTAGTGACAGTAAGAAACTCTATGAAATTATTAAAACCACTTTATATTTTGATTCTCAGTGTCAGGTCTGTCCATATGGAACAAAAATTTGTTCTCAGAGTTGTTTTACCATTTTTAATATGATTTGTTGTAGGAGTTTTGTTTGTTTTCTCCACCCCCCCCCCACCCTCCCCCATAAGATCCCAGCATTTACAGAAGTGGATTGACATATCCAGATGCCTCGCCACTTGCTATTGAATGTGTCTGGCACTGGGTATTGAGGCAAAGCAAATAGTGGCAATGAGCATGATTTAACACAGTGTCCCATGAGCTTCCTTTTAGATCCCTGCTCTTTTGTATGTGGTACCAAATTCTACCACCTCGGGTGAGAAATGGCTTATTCCGACACCCCTTTATCCTCTGACCCTCAGGTAACACCTTCCGTTTTCATTCGCTTGTGATGTGAGGTCTTAGCAAATGAAGGTCCTTTTTGGATGTACCCTGCTCTCTGTTCCTGATAGTTGCTTCTGAGAAACGTGTTGGCCTTGAGTAGGAAAGCTGGTAATTACAAGAGAAAGTGGAGATCTTCCAAAATTGCTTTTTAAAGGAACAACAGAATTTAATAAGTGATACCACCCCCTTAGGGGCCATTGAGTCTGTTGCCAGTATGAATTGTTTTCGGTAGAAAGTGCTGTGGTTTTTGGAGAGTGTTAACATACTGTCTGTCATTTCCGTTGTCTTCAGGAGGCAGATGGTAATCCGGGGGTTTTCTTTGGTGATGGGCCCTACCAATGCGAATGCATTTTACCTCTGTTCTCCAACGCACAAGAGCTTCCCTCTCCCCTCACAGGCCCGGCGCTGGGTGAGGTGGGCGAGGCCATGCGGGAGCTCTCAGAGGTGAAAGACTCTTTGGACATGGAAGTGAAGCAGAACTTCATTGACCCCCTTCAGAACCTTCATGACAAAGACTTGAGGGAAATCCAGGTACCTGCAACTGGTCCTTTGGGAAGCAGGCAGTAGAAATTGTACAGGTGCAGGCACCCTTTTCCTTTAAAAACATTTTTTAAGCGTACCGTGCATGTTGTCATCACTGGCCACATGAATTGCAAAACAGCCCAGAAAAGTTAATGGAAAGAAGCCAGAAATGCAATACTTTGCCCCACTTTTATGATTGTGCCACTCATGAATATTGCATTTGCCCTCTCTACGTTCAGCTTTCAAGATTTCTTAAGTTTTTTTATTTTCAGAAGACTTTGTTTCCCTGATAATACAACAATTTTTTATTTATTCTGTGGTTTCCTGGGCTGAATTCACCCTCTAAAATGCGAGTTGCACTAGATGTTAGCTTAAATACATAGTTATTCTATCACTCTATAAAGACATGTTTTTATATTTTCATAACAGTTATTAGGATTGAGAAAGAATATGCAATTCTTCTCTTCCTAAAACATGTAGAACAGTTGAGCTATTCCAAACAGAGTTCAACTAGCTTTACCTCTGACTAGGTGTGTAATGTTTGTTCATTCATGCCTTCCACAAATATTTGTTGATCCTGTCTGAAATTTAATTTTCTTTATTGTGAAATGAACTGCCATAACTTGAAGTCTCTGAGATTTTTTATCCCAGCATAGATCTCCTTCAGCCCTATCACTTGTTCAAGGTCGCACAGTTAGTAAGGGGCAGGCACACTCTCAACCTAAAATGCAAAGTCTGCCTCCAGTATGCTGCCCTGTGGCTGACTACAAGGTCAATGGTCTTAAAATAATTTCCCTTTCAAAGGAACAAACATGTAGCTTTGGATCGGAGCGTGGATTGGAGACAGAGTGTACTGTGGGAGGGAAGACCTAGGAGGTCCGTCTCTTTCCTTCTCATTTCTTCACCATTCCCAACTCTGTTTTAATCTGCTTCTCTGTCTTTCTAGACACACCCAAGATCAAGGGAATTCCAGAACTTTCTCCTACCTATTAGTAATGGGACACCGCAGCTCTTAGGAGAAATATACTTTGTAGCTTTGGGAAACTACTGTTTCACTTGGTCACTAAAGCTGTTGGGCAGAAGCTGGACAGACGTGTGGTGGGGGCGATGTAAGGAGGGACTGAAGTGCACTGGGGGGCATTAGGTCTCATCTAAGGTCCCTTCCAGTCAGGTTTTGTGATCTGGTGTCAAACAGGAGACTTAAACTAATCAACTGTTCCCTGAAAGCTGCTTCAGTCAACTAGGATAAGTGTTAAGATATAGATTCCTAGGCTCCAGCCCTGGATATTCTAATTCAGGTGGTCAAGAATCCACATTTTAAATAAGCAATTAATAATCAATAAGGTGATTCTAACATATTAAATTACATCATGGATAATTCCTTTCCACTGCTAATGCTCTGTGATTTGAAAATCAAGAATTCTATCTTTTCTTACTTCATTTCAAGGCAAGTGGGTGGGGTTTTTTCCTGCCTTCTCATAAAATATCATTTCTTCTGAAGGTGGAGGTTTGTGGACCCTGTGCTTTCCACATGTAGAGCAGTTACTCACATTCCCACTGTTTCTCATGGAAGGGGAAGGCATGGTCCAGCTTGACTTTGTCCCAGCAAGGGCGAATAGATAGATAGATAGATAGCAAGCATTAGTATTTCTCACGATATCTTTATTGCTCTTAATTATTTTTAAAGATGTTTCTCCACATTCAGCCTTTGGAACTGCTTGCCCCACCGATGCATGATATTTTAGAACTGGTGACATGATATTTTAGAAATTAGCCTGTCTCCCTTTGGAAGCCAACAGGCATGATGGGGAAGTGAGCTCTAAACTGGTTTTTTACAGGAGCACTTTCAAAGCATATTCGTGCCCTTGAATTTTTTAGCATCATCTAAAGAAATTGGAGGGTCGACGTCTGGACTTTGATTATAAGAAGAAACGACAAGGCAAGATTCCCGATGAAGAGCTCCGTCAAGCTCTTGAGAAATTTGATGAGTCTAAAGAAATTGCCGAGTCAAGCATGTTCAATCTGTTGGAGATGGATGTGAGTGACTCTCTGTGGTTTTCAATTTATTCTTGCCATCGAGGCACAAGATTGATGTGCTAAAGGATTGTGTCATTAAAAACACTAATATCTGATCACACTATGTGGTGAGAACTTCGGTAGATGGTTATTTCTTTAAGTAATTTGAAATTATAAAGTAGATGAGAAATGGTAGAGTTTTTTTTTCTTGTGTTTTTATTGTTTACATTTTTGTCTACTAATGATCTTACAAATAGTGGGGAGATAATGTTTCTGATGACCCATGTATCAGTCCAATAGCTCAAAAAATACTCTGTTGAAATACAGAGCAGATTGTCTTCAGATTGTGTAAGAATATCAGCTAAAATGTGTTCAGAAGAGAGTGTCGAACATAGGTTAAGATGTTCTGTATTTTGAAGTAAAGCCGACATTTTCTTTCAAAAGGTAATTTTACTTGACACTGATGACTGTAGCATAGATACTACATCTAGCACATACATGAGATAGTTTAAAAGCTGCTTTCACATTCCCAGAGTACCACGTTATCATTCATGACTGTAGCAGTTACGTTCTAACCACTCATGTCATGAAACATGTTAACCAGCTTTCCTGTCCTTGCTCACCCCTACCTCTGGCCCGATCACTTGCTGACTAACTTCTGCCGAGATGTTTACGGAGCCTTTATGTACTTTCCACTTAACTGCTCTGCCCTGACTGGTGACAGAGGGGATGTGGGGACGATGCCCAGGCTTCCCCATCACCCAGAGACAGTCTGGGTCTGTGTTTATGTAAAACAAGCGTGTCCACGCGCCCACTGAAGAGGGGCGCTGTAGGCCTGGGGAAGGGGCGACCCGACTCACAGTGCTCCATCCCTGAACCCAGGGCACTGCAACCCCAAAGCTCGTGGGGCAGCATTGCCACTGTTCAGCTGGGTCACAACACGAGGTGGGAAAAGAAGAGTAGCCAAGCATGCTTAAAATATTAGAGCTGGGATGAAACCAGGTGTCACTTGACCCAACCCCTCTACATTACAGTTGAGGCTCAGAGGGGACAAAAGATTGCCCATCATACCACACTGCCTCCTATGGTGCCCCATGTCAGAGACCAATATTCACATTTTTATTAACAGCAGTAATATTGACTTAACATGAAAAGTATAAAGAGGAATGAGTCCTTTGGTCAATACATGGGTTGTTTGTTTTTTTTTTTCCTTATAGGATATCAAGAAAATAAGCCACACCCTACTCATAAGGTTGTAGCTAAGCATGAGACTGGTGAGAGTTATGGGATCTTCAGGAGGATTCTGAATAATGTTGCTTCTCTTTATAGTACTGGAGTCCCCAAGTGTCAGGGTGCTTTCTTATTCTTGATCATTTTGGAACCTGTAAAACTATGTGTCTTAGCCTGGCTCACCACATGGTCATGGGCACCGCCGAGCGCACGGGGCTGCGCGTCAGGGGCAGCAGCTCTGTCAGATGTGCAGTGCGGCAGTAGCTGCCCACGGACAGTAACATGGTAATTGAGGTATGGTCCCCCCTCCATCTGCAGATCGAACAGGTGAGCCAGCTCTCTGCGCTTGTCCAGGCCCAGCTGGAGTACCATAAGCAGGCAGTCCAGATCCTGCAGCAAGTCACCGTCAGACTGGAAGAAAGGTATTTTACAGTTCCCTGCATTTTATATTTCCATTTTCTTGCTGTGAAGTGATGTGTAAAGAAATGGAAGTAATAGCAAGAATACATTTAAAGAAAACCTTCTTCCAAAATTCCTGCTGATGCTATACAGGCACCGTGTGGACCCTTTGTTTGATTTGATTTGATCTTAGGCTTTGTTTTGTTGCATTTAGTCTAATCTCATGCTTATGAGAGGTCAATACTTGGATTATATTTTGGCTGCCACAGATGGGACACGAGTATCCACCAATGCTAATGGATACAACTTACCGAGCAGCTCTTCTGTTTGGGTACTGAAGACATATTGTCGTCAATCATGTATCAGCCCTTTAGGTTAAGGATTATAGCCTAAGGATTTAGCCTCATCTAACAGATGAGCAAACAGAGGCTCAGGAAGCTGAAGTCACTAGCCCTGGGTCACACAAATGGGGTTCATGATCAAGCATAACCTATTCAAGAGCTTGTATCTTTTCATACCCTGTGTTTCTCTGAGTGGCGACAAAGTCTATCAGAGAGGGCTGCTTTCTTGTGCCTGCTCCACCTCCTCTCACGCGTGCACAGCGGGGCTCTGGTGGTTTTCTTTGCGAATGGAGCTCCCTGGAGTTCGGGGGCAGCCTGCACAGCTCCATGCAGTGGCCCTACACTATAATATGTATTTATTTAGCCAGATTAAGCAGGATGATTTTTTTAAGTGAATGTACCTCAAAGGGCCACCTCAGCAGCCTTTATTCTCAGCTCGTGGCCAGATTAGACACTCAGGTGCTGAGACAACCAAGCGCACGGAGCCGCCTCTGATCACTGTGCTGTGCTGTGGGAAACACCCTCACCCTTCCCATTGTTTCCATCCGCCCGCCCCTTCCTGTCCTCCGAATCTTCCTGGACAGTGCCTTGACTGCGCGTCTTCCCGCAGTGTACCCTGTGGAAATGTGTGGAGCAGTTTGACACCTCCAAAAAGGTTTAAAACCATGCACTTCAACACATTAAAGAAATATGTGCCTTTGTGACATCTGTTGAGCATGGTGTTCCTTCTTTTTTTTCCCTCTGAAATATGTACAGAGTCACTATCCTTCTGCTTTCACCATACCCTAAACTCTCCCCACCTTGGCAAGCCTGTTCTACGGTTTTCTTAGTGAATAACTGAAACTAGGGGGAAAAAAGACATAAGGGTGTGCAGAATGCATTTATTGATTGTACCTTTGCCTCTTCCTCCTGTTTTCCTTCATTTCTTTCCCCGCTTCCTCTACTGCGTTTAAAGCACACCGGTCCTCCTTTCCTCCCTTCTAATTTTCTCAAGCTCTGTATGGAGTAACTTTCTTCTGCAAACAACTGTTCATCTGGAAATGACTCCTACTTATCTTTTACCTTCTTCCTTAAACCTTTTCCAGCTTCCACATGGACAGGTAGACTCCCCAGCCCACCCCCGTGTTCCTGTAGCGTTTTGCGCACATCTCTGCAGTGATCAGTTTTGTTCTGTCTCTCCTACAGACCAAAAGTTACTTGAGGACAGAAACTGTATCTTATTCATCTTTGTGATTTTGGCACCTACCACAGTGTAGAGTGAGCTCTGAATAAGTGAGAGAGGAAGTGAGAGATTGGGGGAGAGGATGAAGACAAGGGGGGCGTGACCCCAGAGGGACATCGCCAAAAGCAGAGACATTCAGACATAAAAAACTGCGGGCCCCTTCAGATTTCCCGTGCTCCACAATGGCAGGGTGCTGGGTGAGCATTTCCTAGATTTTGTTGCTTTGCTTTTGCTTCTTAATTGGCTACAAACTCTCTCTTCTCACCCTTTTTCTTCCAACACAGAATAAGACAAGCTTCATCTCAGCCTAGAAGGGAATATCAGCCTAAACCACGGATGAGCCTGGAGTTTGCAACTGGAGACAGTACCCAGCCCAATGGAGGCCTGTCCCACACGAGCACTCCCAAACCTGCAGGTGAGGGGCGAGCCTGCAGGCCCCATGCAGGGGCCTCGGGCACATCCTGTTGACACTTTCCCAGAAATTCTAGGAGCCATCTAACCTGACTGCGTAAGAAATATATGGTAATATACTTCTTACAGGATATTTTTGTCAGGTAGGAACTCTTTTAAAAGGGCTCTTCCTTCTCTCATTGATAATTTCTTTTCCTCTTTCCCCTCTTCTCTCCTCTATAAAACTTTTGCGTCCTTTTTTTCTCTTACTGTCCATCATTAGTTCTTAATTAGCACATACGATTTTGACTTCCCTTTGCGGTTGTACAGTCATTTTAACATGCGAGTTTGGCACTGGGGCGGCACCTTTGTTTCTGTTTTTCCCCTCTTGGGGTCCAGCGGGCATGAGAGCGAACGCCCAGGCAGTGTGCTCTCCCATACCCTCGCGTATAACTCCCCGCCCCTGCGGTGGCTCCAGGAACAAGCCCGGTTGGATTTCTTGAGTCACGGGAGCATATGGGTGAATATAGCACTCAAGATATTTTCAACCCTTGCATTTGCTTGGTTGAAGAAGTGGAATCTCTTATACTGGATGTGGATTTTAAAAATATGCAGGTTTCTCCTATTTTCCGTGTATCTCCAGTGCTTGCTGTTTTACAGTAAGACACTTGTGAGATGCTTCTGGGAGACTCCAAAGGGAAAAGTGAGGTCTGCGATGGCAGCTGGAGCTCTGTGCCTGTGAGACCCCAACCCCCCGACTCCCCACGGCCCAGAGCCCAGGGTGGGGCATAAACAGCAATGGCTCTTAGAAGTTAGCGGGCTACAAGGACTAGGCATATGCTATGTGTAACTTGCTTCTTCCTACTCAGAAACCAACCCCATACTTTACTCTCCTTCCTGAGACTTGTTAATTTTCTGCTTTCTTTAAGTAAGAAAATGTATTATATTGTTTCCCTTCAAAGCCACATAGGTGATGTGGGAGCTGTAGGCACTTGTCTGAGCTTAAACACAGATGTGTGTGGGTGCTGTATTAATTTATTTGGTCATTTTTTTATCTAACCCTTTATTACAAGTCACACTTTTATAGAAGTATATGTGGGTTAGGTGGAAAAAATGATGTTTAGTCATTTAGCCTAGGTCCTTCATAAGATCTGACTCCATCTTTTATTATTTCATTCAAGATATTGTATAATTTTTATATGCTATAGCTCTGATGTACTCCTCATATTTATATATACAATAGTTTACAAAGTGCAAATTATGTAATTTTTACATAATCTCACAATAGATATAATAGTACTGTGAAATGAGTTTTTATACCAAAATGAAAAAAAAAAAATTTTCACCTGAGAGTGAAGGGCCTTGTACGAGGTCACACAGAGTTAGAACTTGAACCCAGAAGTTTTAAATTGTTGTGTTTTCACCACATTAGAGTAGTTTTCCAGAGGTTGAAGTCTTTGCTTTTAAAAAGCAAGAACTGTACTGTTATTCTGAAGTTGCAAAACATCATCCACGTAATTAACTGTACTGGATGATGTTTCACACATGTACTGTACTGTACGTTTCACACATGCAGAGATTTTAAAGTGCGAACGTGGAAAGAATTCTGGCCATGCTGCAAAATGAACCTCAGTCTCACTAAAACTCCTTAAATCACTGGGCCTGCCTCCCATCACTGGGCATTGCCAGGAAGGAAAGCATTGGTAAAATCTGTGGCACACATCTCAAGAGTAGATGTGGCCATTTTTCACACCGGGGATGGAAATGGGAATCCAACAACCTCCAGACATCTGAGAAAGCTTCTGAAGATGGTAGCAGGAGGCGCCCCATGTCGTAGACTTGGGGGAGCTGGTGGCAGGAGGAAGCTTCAGCAGGAAGAGGAGGAAGGAGCCAAGGGGGCAGCAGGCAGTGGCTTTGTGTGTTAAATTCCCCTTGTCTGTGTTCTTCTCTCCTGCTCTGACTCCCAGGTGTCCCAATGGACCAGCCCTGCTGCCGAGCTCTGTACGACTTTGAACCTGAAAATGAAGGGGAATTGGGTTTCAAAGAGGGTGATATCATCACACTCACTAACCAGATTGATGAGAACTGGTACGAGGGGATGCTTCACGGCCAGTCAGGCTTCTTCCCCATCAATTATGTGGAAATTCTGGTCGCCCTGCCCCATTAGTCTGTTACGCTGGCTGGCGCACCTCCTCTTGACCCAGATAGTTACGTTTAACCACTGCTTTGGTAATGCTGCTTACAACACATCCCAGATGCAGGCCGCAGTGGTCCAGGTCATCCAGCCCCACAGAGTAACTTTGGTTGACTTGTGTGATCCCACAAGAATCATGGTGATGGGTGGTATCTTCTCAGCCTGGTGGGCATGGCATGTGCTTTTTACACACCATCTGAGACCAACCAACAGTCAGGGAACTGCTGTTCATACAGTTCTCAGGAGGCTGTGGCTGCTTAGAGTAAGGACCATGAGCCACATCACAGAAAAACCATCCTCCTGAAGATATTATCTGTCACCCAGGGGCCACCTCCAGGTCTCAGGTTCTCCATTTAAAGAGGAGAAAGTTTTTGCTTTCACATTGCCCCTCCCAAATATGTGAGTCACAAAATTGTTGAAGAAAGCCTCCCTCACCAGCAAATTGTCTTCTGGCCTGAAAGAGTCCTTTGATGCTATCAGTAGAAAAGTGTTGAGTGTGGATTCAAAGCCTTTCCTGAATACATTCACCATTGTTCCTCCTTCCTTATGCGTTTTTCCTAGGTACAGCCAGTTTTCCTCCCTCCCTGCCATTAAAACCAGAGGGGACTCTCATTTTATTGTCCAAGTAAGACAGTGAGCAGTCAGCATGTCATGGGAGGGGCTGACAACAGGGGGTGCTCCGTTAGGCGGGATTGGGAAGAGATCTGCCTTCCAAGCTGAAACCTCCTGCTGTAAAGAAACAATGTGTCCATTTAGGGCATTTCCGAAGGTATAGGGAAGGGGGAACAAATACTTTCATTCCAGTTTTATTTATGAATTATGTGTTTCATGAATCCATTTGGCACAGAGACACAAGGAGAAAACCACTGGAAACCATTTTTCCACTAGTTCATAGAGGAAGAAACAGTAAATACCTTTTCTTTCCGCTTTCACCTTGTGTTCTTTGAACATCGTTTGTGCATATTCTGCCCTCAATGAGGACCAAATAAAGATGATTTTTGTGCTTAGCAGTTTAAGAGTATGTGGCTGCATATGCAAAACTCTTCCCAAGTCACTCCTTACTTTTATCTGTCCCTTCTATTTCATCTTCATTTGTGTGTACAGTGCTGTGTGTAAGTTTATGAGTGTTTTCTTTTGTATCAGTCATTAAAGTCCTGTTAAGTTCTATACAGAGTTCTATTTATCTAGCTGTACAGATTCTTTCAGAGGTTTAATGTGCTGCTTCGGATGTGCCACCTGCGGTAGTGGATCATGTGGAGTGAAAGGCAAATCTTACTGCTTAATGTATAAACTCTTACCATGGGAAGCATCGCTGTTTCCAATAAATATTGCTGAGGACAAAACCAAAGGCTCTGGACCTTTATTTTGTGTCAGTTCCTTGGGTCTGACAGTGGTGGACTGAGGCTCATTTCACTCTCCAGCACTTTCTGATACAAGCAAACCACACCTGGTTCCAACCTCAGATCCACTCCTCTGTAAGCAGGGAAAGTTCCATCATCAAGAAGTGAGCTCGCCTAGACACTTGCAACTTCTTGGTAAGCCCCAGAAGGAGGAGATTTTGCGGAGAGGATGTACGATAGCAGTTAAGTGAGTTATCATCAGTTATCTTTATCAACAGAAAAATGTAATGTTCAGAGAAACAAACAAAATATATCATTTCAACCAGTTTTTTTTTTTTCATGCTTACAGAGAAAGAAATGCATGAAAATGCAAATTGGCATTTTTTTTTTCTCTTGGTGTATATGAAGGGGTGGGGGTGGGAAGGGATGTGGGGGGGTGGGGACAGAAAGCAGTGCACCCAGGTTATATATTTCCAAAGCTCCTGAGAAAATAAAGGTGTTCTTCATGTATTGGGCACCCTTTGTATTCTTCCACCCTGAGGCTGGTAGTCCAGAAGTGTAGTTTTAATCTCATATTAAATTCTATATGTGAACCACTCTACCATGAAAATAATTTTTTTTCTAGCTACATGAGTTAGAGTCTCACAGATCAATTCTAAGTCAATTTTTAAAAGAAATTACTGGTGGCATTATTATGAATGGGAGAAATCCAGAAGAATCACAGATGAACTATTACAGTCAATAGTGAATTTAATAAGATTATTGGATTTAAGATCAATATCCAAATATATTCTATATGTCAATAACAATCAGAAAAAAGGAATGTAAAAAATGTATCATTTACAATGGTGTCAAAAATCAAACTCATAGATCTAAATCTAATAATTACATGGCGGAACCCCCCAAAACTGGAATTGAATTATAAAAAAGCTTGTTTATTCTTACATTTTTAAACTTCAGTCACCTTCAAAGTACTCTCCATTTGATGCAATAAACCTATAGAGATTTTTTTTTCACTGTCCAAAACAGTTTTTGAACTTGTCAATTTTAATGCCTTTTAGTGCTTCTTTCATTTTGTGTTTCACCTCTTCCACATCAGCAAAATGTTTCCCTTTGAGGACTTTTTTCATCCTGGAAAACAAAACAAAAAAGAGTCATTTGGGACAAGATTGGGTGAATAGGGAGGGTGGGGAACAGGGGTCAGGCCATTTTTGGTCAAAAACTGCTGACCACTCAGGTGGTGTGGGCACGTGAGCCTGTAAATCGCCCATCATGAAATACGCAAACCCATTGAAAGAGTCTTAAAAAAAATTCCCTGAAGCTGAATGCAGCCTCTCACAGCACCCACAGCTGGAAAACTGATACTGATGGGTTCCTAGAACACTCACCTAGCAGGGGGAAGCCTGTGCTACAAGGGTCCTGCCTTCCAGGAGATAATTCTGGGGTTTTCTTGGGGGAGGTCTCCCCTCACATATGATTTCTACATAGAACATTATGAAACATGCTTGAGAAAAATGAAGACTTTAACAAGGGAAGAGATAGCCTGTGTTTGTGGACTGGAAAACTCAGCATTTTAAAGATGTTATTGCTCCACAAATTGACTTACAGATTTAGTGCAGTTTCAACCAAAATCTCAGGAAGATTTTCTGTGTGTGAAAATTAACAAGTATAAAATATATGTGGAAATGCAAAGGGATATTTCTTCTTGAAGGACAACAAAGTTGGAGGACTTGCTGTTTCAAGGTATAAAACAAAGTTACAGTAATTAAGGTAGTGTGTTGCAGCAGTAGGGAAAAAGAAGATCGGTACAGAAGTGCAAGCCCAGAAAGAGGCATATGTGTATTCAACCATATTTGAACTAATAAAGCGTCCCATTGTCTTTAATGTTACACCTTCAGATATGATAGTACCTGTGTGGTAGCAGTCCTAAAACTCCAAAGGGAAACCACTAGCAAGAGCCCGCATGAAACAGAGGAATGTCATTATGAGTCTACATCAAATGAAATGAAAGTGCCATAAACACAGTTTCCAGAAAGAACTTAGTATTTAAATATTTATTTAAGGGAGTCTTGGACATAATTAATAATACGTTTACCAGATTGAGAACTGTCTGAATTCCTTATTTTTATTGAAGTATAATAAATTTCTTTTTACAGAACTTTATGGAAAAGAGCAGGGAACAGTGGACCACCACGGGGAAAATCGAACCTACCCCAAAACACTTGTTCTTCTGTGATCACAGAATGAACTGCCTGAAGTGGAAACAGAACTAAACTAAACTGAACTAAAATGGAAAACAAGTCCAATGAAACAGTTGTCTTAATTTTCTAATGGGTCTGACAGGTCTTAAGAAGACTTTCTGGGAAAATACTTATTTTCCCTTAGTTTCTCTTTGCTGTGAATAAATAATAAGACAGCAAGAATGATGTGACACAGAATTGAAATTTTCCTAAGACTGTAGTATATAGCATATATCCTGGAGCATGTCAAGTCCTGTTCTCCACAGACTTAGCAATGTCTTAGGAAATCAGATTCATTCCAAGGCTCTATTTTCAAGACAGCCTTTAGTGTTGTCTGGGTGGAACCATGTGGGTACTTTTAGGGCTCATTACAGATTAAGAACTGCCTTTCTTCCCTGAGAGATGGGATGATGATATAGGGAGGAGTTAAAGCTAAGGAACAAGCAGCCCAAAGCCTCTGTTTGGAGTTCGGGGTGATGGTGAAGACTTTACAGGCTGCATGGTGGAGCAGCCACACCAGCAATTTCTAGGCCCATCGACTGGGGACCTATTACGAGCCCCCATTTTAAAAGAGCTGTCAAGGAAAAATAAAGCTACTTTTTCAAGGGTCCAATGAATGCTAACGAGGCCAGCGACCATCACCCAGCCATCGCGTATGTCTAAGTGATGGCGGCCTTCCCCTTGGTGCCAGAACTGCTGTGAGTCCTGATGGGGGTGAAGCAGTTGCCAGCTTTGGAGGCAAAGGAATGGAGAGCAGCATCTCAATACCATTTTCTCAGAAAGGAACACTGGACTTTTTTCAACCACTCTCTCTGACTAGGTGCTGATGTTCACCTGCATGTACCAAGGTTAAGATTTTGCGAAGTCCCTTTCAACAGGAAATAACACAGATGTCCATGATAGGAGTTGGAGAATAAAGTTTGAGTATCAGGAAAACTCACAGATATTTGGATCCCTTTCTGTAACCTGGTTTCTTTATTTTTTTTTTTTTCCTCCCCATGGTAAATGCGGTCTCAGCCACACAAGATTTATATATACTTGTTTATGTCATCTGAAAAATGTTTCCCACAGTCACTAAACCAGGAGTGTTCTCTGTATTCCAGGCAGGCAAAATGTAGATTTCTTCACCTGGCAGGGTCTATCCTGATTACAGGCTTTTAGTGGCCTTTAAGCAGTAAAAATAGATATGTATTACAGCTGTGTTTGAGTTTCCTATATCATTTTTTTTTTTTTACACCTGGGAGTCAGACACATCCAGCAGTTTTATAAGATCATACCTATAATTGAAGGGAGAAAAAATAAGAACCAGCATTGTTTGCCACCCTGTATCAAGCCCTTTGTTAAGCTCATGTGTGATTTTGATTGAAGACTGAAGTGTTAAATCTTAAACACTCAGCTCTCTGGGGTTGATATACTAGAAGAAAGAAAGCTCTTATAAAAGGGTTCATTACCCAGTGTAGGAGCTGCTGTTGATTTAGAGGGAATTTACCAACATTATGAAATATCTTAGTAGCAAGACAAAGAAATGATGAGCTTCTTGATGGTGAAATAAAGAGACTATAAGGTTTTACACAAGACTGACTTTATAGAATTTCAGGTGTAGGAGATGAGGCAGAAGGTAAAGTAAAAGTTTTAAAAGCGTTTTTCACACTTTATTTCTCTCCTCGTGTTTTGGTTTCCTTAAAATCTTTCCATGTGTGACTGGTAAAAGAAATGCGACATCATTTTTTCGAAATCAAACTAAGTATGGCTGCTGTCCCACTCCCATCAGAATGGGCCGGCATTTCTCTCTTGGTTCTGTCTGTGGGGTTGGGTCTCTGGTTCTGACCTCCTCTGTGACCAGGTTTTCTCTCCCAAGTGCTTGTGATCTGCCAGAAAGCATTGCTCCAGCCCCCTCTGCCCGAGCCTGGTGCTAGTTGTTTGCCGAGGATCTCAAGCTGTAGCACCAGCACCCAGTATCCCTGGGCACAGAGCCATCCCCATTGAAAACTTACCCTTTCTTCATGTAAGTCACTTACTGCAGGAGAACAAGATGCATTATTCACTGCTCTACCACTGATCATACACAGTGATTGATTAGAGTGTGAGAAAATGCCAGAGAATCTGTGTTTTTAAAAAGGCCCACCAGTGATTCTTAACTTGCATCTCTTATCAAAACACTTCCCCCATCAGACTCATGAAGAAGCCTGTGAGGCATCTAAATAAAGCGCCCTAAACTTCCTCGACGTTAAGGGTCTCCTGTGAGCGCTTGTAAAAGTTGGATTTCCAGGTTCCCATTTCAGCTTCTCAGAATCAGAACTACCCATTGAGGGGCCTAGGAAGGTATATTTCCCATTAGAAAGGTTTAGGAAACAATCTACTAAATGCTTCTAAAACTCTGAGATGCATGAAAATCACCCCAAGCTCAACTCCCAGAGATCCTGATTCGGTCATTCTGAGGTGGGGCCTGAGAGTCTACATTCTAATAAATCCCACAATGTTGTATTTGCTGATCCATGGATTGCGTTTGGAGGAGTATTGCTCCATTAGACAAACTTCTTAGGGAAGAGCCAGCTGCTTCCTGATACTTAGGCACTGCCTTTGGTGTTGAGAACAATCACAACACATAGATGCATTAGTCCATTATTTTTCTAATTGTTCTTTGTCCTCATACACTGAATAGGAATCCAAGCTTTTGTGTGGTTGTTGTTGTTGTTGTTTGTTTTGCACAGCTGAGAAGTCCCACTTCAGTTGTGCAATGGAGGCTGCTTA